TTTCCCCCCCCCCCCGGTGGTATAAAGTTGGTCAGAGCAGATAAACACATAATATCACTGTAGCATTAACTGGAAACAATTGTTTTATATGTGTGAAGTTGATTGTTGTGTCTTTAGACTTTTACAGATGCAATCCCATCATTCAGCCTAAGAAAATCCCTGCATGTAGAGATCTTAAAGGTCCAGTGTGAAACATTTAGGAGGATCTGTTGGCAGAATAATCACCTGAAAACAGGAATCATTATCTTTTCGTTACAGAGGGAGTGGGTCCATGTTTCTAGCCCAGAACGGACTCTCCAGGAAGTTGCGATTCAGCCAATCTCAGTGACTTCTGCGCAACCTTTTTTGCAACTTTTCTGCATATCTGACCGACCACTGTAATTTCCTGCAAGCTCACATATAGCTTTAACTGGCTAGTTCTTTAGTTAGTTATTGTTATATAGCTAGTTACCTCTGATAGCTACTGTTAGTGAAATGCTTTCTTTTCACCAATCAAAAAATAAAAAGCTGAGCCATATGTCACTAGCAATTTTATTCTCAATTGCCTTTGATTTTTAATAAACTATACACTTTGCAATTTTCACTTTCTCCTGCAAAAAAATGCCAAAAAACATCACAATTTTTTTTACAAAAGCTGCCTTGAAATACACGCTCGAAAGGCTGAGCTGTATTCAGTTGGTTGTAATCTGCAACTCCACCACTAGATGCCACTAAATCCTGCACGCTGGTCCTTTAAATGTTGATACCAGAATGTGACACAGCTGAGTTTCAATCAGTTTTAGTTTCCAGAGTCAGAATCTCAAGCACACACATTGTTCTGTAGCCAAAGGCGGTCGGGTGAATATTTTACAGTGATTGTGAGTCTGTAGCCAACCAGCAGTCGCTGCACTATTACGTTACGTACGTTTGAACAAACACGTTTTTGTGCTGCCAAATCATTCCTCGTCTTTTCACAGCAGAAAAGAGAAAGCGATCTGAACGTGCAGATATTGGGAGTACACTGTGCATTTCTTACATTACTGTCTCTGAGCGCACCCTGAGAGGTTTTTTATTGTAAATATCCGATGCAGCTACGTTGTAAGCAAAGCGCTGGCGTGCTTAGCGTGTACACGTGATTATTAACCACTCATTCAGCGAGGGGGGGAGGGGCTGGTTGGGAAGGCAGAGATACTTTGATATTTTTGGTGTCATTACTGTATTGAGAAGCTGATGAATGTTTATTACATAATGCCAGAAATAATTTGCTGTGATATTCCAATAACTCTATGCAACTGTGGATTAACACCTTTCAGCATCAGCGTGTGCCGTTGTGTCAGCACCACGTCTAATAACACTGGCAAATCCAGCAGAGTGCTGATCACAGGTCAGTTATTAGTCCGCTGAGCAGTGTCGGCTGTTAAAGGGGAGCCTGGTGGTCTGTTGGGATGAATGCTAGGTCCGAGGAGCGTCTGCTGTATAAGCACCAGGTTCTGGTTGATGACGACGTGCAGCAGTCAGAGATGTGTCGGGCCTTTTGTTCAGGGAATTCTAGAGCCTTAAATCTTTTCTCACTCTATTTAAGATATCATGTAGTCTTTTCAAATCAATGTAGTCGAGTGTTATTTAACCAAAGCCATACCTTCTTTGAGTTGTTTTTGTGTCTGTTCGCCTTCTTTCTTTTTCTTTTTTTTTCTTCCTCTTTTCACTTGGAATGTCAATAGTTACGAGCAGTGGGACTCCTCACCTCTAGTCCGATTACGCCAATAAATTCTGTTTTGGTATCAAAATGTGGCTTTGTCTGTGATTTCACTCAATGTTACACTTAAAACTCTCAATATGAGCAGCAGCAAGTCTCCCTGTATGGAGGGTTTGTGTAACTAAAGCAGTGTTTACTGCAGGGGGTATTTTATTTATTTACTTTATGCTCAAAGGTTAAAGAACAGTAAAGATGAGGAGTTATGAAGAAAGATGGATGGATGGATGGATAGATGGATGGATGGATCAAAGTCAAAAGTCAAAGTCAGCTTTAATGTCAATTCTTCACATGCACCAGACTCGAAGGAATGGAGAGGACGTTTCTCA